TGAAATCGTGATTTTTATACATATGTATGTATGTATGTATGTAGCTGATTATGATAAAGTTACAGTCGTGTAGTAATTACAACCGTTATAATATAATTTTTATGTATCGCTATATACTATTATGTTTATGAATATTTGTATGTACATACATACATATGTGTGTATGTGCTTACTTATTAAGTGATTTTCATTAAAACTGGTTTTAAATAATTGATGAAATAAAAAATATTATACTTTTTTTTTAAATTACTGCTTTTGTTTTACTTTCCCGGCAGGTGAGAAAAGTTAAAGTGATTGTTATGATTGGACTGAATAATTTTAATCTTAAGAACTAAACAAGTTTTAATAATGTAATTCTATAATATATATGTATATACATATGTAGGTACCCACACATATTAAATTTTTCATAAATATGACAGCGCCGTGACATCCCGCTGGAAAATTTTAAACTTTTAACATTTTGTCTATACATAACCTTTTTGTTATAATTAATATTCTTTTACACTAGCAACTGAACCACGTGATTCCATTTGCAGCTTTAATTAAAATTAAATCATCCCAATATACCATTCCAATAAGTTACTTGGTAATTATACAGCAACTTGAAATTGAATGAAAGATTTAAAAATTGTGAAACAAGAACAATTTAATTGGCAAACTAAAAGTAAGTTCGGTCTTCGGAAAAATTAAGTATGCAATTCACGTAAAAAAATCGGGAAAATTACGAAAATCACTGCTTTTTTTTATTTCAATATTAATGAATTAATATAATTTGTACCTACTGCGTTCAGATTAGATGTTGCTAAAGAACGATATTTTAATAAATTACCGGTAAAGAATTTCATATTACAATAGTATGTTCATAATTATTGAAACCTGACTTTTGTATCCAATTATCTATACACATATGTATATACATATGCATGTACGTATTATTAAATTATGTGATTAAATAACTTTTATTTATCTAATACTTTCGAAAAGTTGTAACCTAGTTTGTAACACTTATTCACGTCTACAAAATATACTTAAACAAACGAAAAATTGATTGTTTCATTATATGAACACGTAAGAACATTGTATTGTATACAATTAAGGGTACACATACATACTTATGTAGAAGTATGTATGTTAATTCATAATATGCATATTGAAAAATGTGGCTTTATATTTTGAAAAGTATAAGTAGGTGTGGTAAATTATTTGCGCCTTTGTGGTTAAATATACGGCGCCAAAAATTAGTAATACATATGTACGTGTGAAGTATGTATAATCATGGTATTAAAATTAATTCATTCATATTATAATTAACTATTTATATAAGTATATGTAAGTATGTACACATGTATAAAGAAAAGGGCATTTAACCCTAACTGTTTATTATGAGATGCTAGGTGAATATTGTATAGCAGAAAATGATTACGCTATATACATACATGTACATACATATACATATATGTATATTTGTGAGTTATTTAATATTTAAAAAAAAATCATTCAATTATCAATTTATTTTTTGAACAAATTAGGTTATATGACTATTTTTTGCCAACTTTCGTTCAGTATACAGAAAATTTTAGTGGGGTCATGGTAATATTGTGTACCTGCAAATAGAAAATACCTATTAGATTACTGAAATAAGTTCATTGACCTTATAAAAAACTCAAAAATGTAGATGTATGTAAATGTGTGCACGTGATTTCAAGTTTAAATGCCTATTTGTTCTACAATGCTGCAAAATTTGTACAAAATTGATTTTTTATTTGGAATTCTGAAAGATTTTCTTGTGTACTAATAATGAATATAATAATTAGATATGTATATATATACAATGTCTCACAGTGAAAATGATGCAACAAAAAAAAAATCGTTTTAGATTAAAAAATAAATAGGTAGGTAGGTATGTATTATATTTTGAACATTATTAAGTTCTTTTCAAAGTTATTAATTTTTGCAGTCTCCCGGTCTTAATGTTTATTGAAAATGTATGGAGTGCGTTAGAAAAAGAAGTTCTCAAGCACAAAATTTCAAATAAAAATGATCTTAAGGCAGCTATACACGAAGAGTGGCAAAAAATTGAACCATTTTACACCACCAACCTCATTAAATCTATGCCAAAGAGATTTAAAGCTGTTTTAAAAAATAAAGGACGACCTATAGATTACTAATTTATGATTTAATCATTTGCAATAAGAAGCTAGGCTTTGTAGTTTTAAATAAAATTTCTTTGCATCATTTTCACTGTGTGACACTGTATATACGTACATATGTATATAAATATGCTTGATTTAATATAAAAACCTATTGAATGTGTCTAGTAAGTTTTGTGTATAATAAATTCACATACGCGTAACAAGGGATTTTTCAATTTTTTTTGTAAAGGTAATATGATTTATTGTGCTTTATTACATCGTAATTAAATAAATAATTATATAATTTCCATTAAAATTTGTTTAATTATTAAGTCAATTCATCAACATTTTTAATATAATTAAAAAATAAAATACATGAAATAATTTTTAAATTACTTACATAAAAGTATAAATCGTTATTTTCATAATTTTATAAAATAAAATAATAATTATCATAATAATTATTGTTATTATTTTTAAGTATTTCTCTATTTTTTTTTTTGTTTATTTTTATGTCACTCCATTATTGTTATATTACAAAAATTATTAAATTATAAAATTTAACTTTCACTGATTTAAAATTGTCTTTATTGACGTAATGTTTATGTGAAGTTTTACTATATAAAATTTAAGAATCGTCGAGAAATATTATAGTAATTTATTTTGTCCTTGATATTACTATCATGAAAGTATGAAAATCTATTTTACAAAAACATTCAAATTATTATTACTTATGTTGTAAATAATTTGCATACACTCAAGGAGAAAAAAGATTTTTGTATGTACTGAATATTGTTCTCATTTTATTTCATCTTTTTAAAATAGTTGAGATTAAATAACCCGAGTTGCACATAAGTACGCTTTATATGTAGAAACGAGTACTTTTACGTAATAGGAATCTTATTTAAATATCATGAAAAATATAAAGTAAAAATACATATATAAAACAAATTAAACGTAAACATGAAAATTATTTCTCAATATATTGTAGGACTTCGTATAATTCTGTATTGAAATTTGGCTATAACAATTAATGCTGCCACAAACATCTTCAGTTATTTATCATTAGTATGCAATCATATAACCAAAATTATATTGTTATTTTGTAAAAATCTGATCGTGATTATTTGATTTTTAAGCCTACATATATTTTAAAAATTCTGGATAATTCCGATTAATTTTCTGAATGGAAATTTTTCTATTGACAAATTAAAATTCACGATTTCTTCTTGATTTAATTAATAAGTTTGTATAAAAAATATAGATGTGTATACACATAAATGCGTAATAAATATAGTGGAACCTTTGGTGAAGAGACAAATTGTTTTCGGTAATAGTTTATGACATTTATTTATTATGTATGTTATCTATCTCCGTAAAATATTGTAAATTTTTTTCTAATTTATTAAGTATGCGAAGTATTTATTTCTAATATAAAGGAAATATATAAGTTTTATTAAAACAACTGAAGTAACAACAGAATGAAAGTTAGAAAAATTACCCTCTATAATTGGAATGAGTTTTTCAGTTTCTCGAAAATAATTTCTCTTATTCAGTTTCATTATATTGTCCAGTTGTAGTATGATTTATTATTTATTTTATTAAAACTTTTTAATAACGTTAAATTAGGTTGTTTCTAAAAGGACTTATATACACTTATGGAATAGTTTAAATTTAAGCTATAGTCAATCCTGGCTTACAACTAAATGGTCTCTAAGTCATCATTTAACATTTCATACAAGCCTTATTTATTTTAATATTTTAGAGAAAATTATAAACATTTTAATAAATTTTATTTACTTTAATTTTTAATAAGTAAGTGCAAATGAATATTTATATAAGTTGCGATAAATATGTACATACACAGCTCTACAGATAATATTATAATATTATTTGGTACAAAACACATAATATTCATATAATGTTTTAATATACATGACTATTTGGAAAACCCCTTTTTATTTAAATATATTATATCATATATTGCAACATGTTGTATTGCATGTTTCTGTTATACAATAATTATCATCTAATCAAAAAATAATATTAGTGATATAAGTTATAAATTCATTGAAACTTTGTTATTTTTCCTAATAAATTTATTATTAAAATGTAACGTAACTATTTTATTTTAATGCAAGGTATGGAATAATAATTAGTCTTATAAAACAAAAATTTTCTACTATGATCAAACAAATTGCCTAATAATGCGGTTGTTATCTAAATCTGATTTATTATAATTTTCAATCACAAATTCTACAGCAACAACAATATAATTCAGAATATACAAAATAATTGAAAGATTATTAAAAGAGTGGCTGATTATTATAAGAGTGACAGAGTGATCGGAACCCTTTGGAAATGCGGAAGTTTGAAGTATTTGATGTGAAAATTATAGTGGTATTAAATTGGCATCGACACTTATAGCTGTATCACACTGACATCGACTCTCTTAGTGAAAATTGGCACAATCTCTTTTTTAAATAATATTTAAACATAGATCCTATACTTACATGTATAGGAAAAGCCTAGTTATAATTAAATTCTAAAGTCATTATGTTGGTATCTAAGTAAATTCATACTGAATAAGTGAGAGTTTTCTTTTCCGTGTAATAAATAGAAATAATTACATAGAACTTTTTGAATTATTTAAATTTTTCTGCAATAATTATTTTGCATTACTGAAATTAGAACTTATGAATATTAAGTTGATAAAAAAGGTTATGTTAATTAATACAATTAAAATAGAATTGAAATATATTTAACAAAATTTAAACAAATTTTAACATTATACGAAACTATTATGTATACTTAATTTTACTTCAATTATATTTTAATATTTTAATTTAAATTTTTTATTTTCAGAAAAGGCCGCCTGGAAAAAATATCTTATATCGTAAGTATTATTTTGTTTTAAATTAATATTTAATTTAATAATTTCCATAAATACTGGCAGTAAAATCGTTTAATATATTAATGAGGCAAACAGTTTCATAATTACTATAAAAATGTTAGTATCTGTTTGGTTTGCCGTTGATTTAGTCGAAATTTCATCTTGTATAACTTACGTGTTATTTTATTACGCGAAAATACTCACAGTTGTCACTGATAATAATTAATAACTTGTTATTATTAGTAACATTTTGAACAAAAAATTGCAATTTTGTTGCATTCCAATCTTTCCAGATTAGAAATCATTTTTCCAATACCTCTAAAACAGCAATCCAATTCGTAAATTATAAATTTGCAATTTTCAGTCAAATTTCTTACTCAAAACATTCTTAAAACATATGACCGAAATTTTTTAAAAAGAAAAACAAAATAATAACAGGAATAATGAGAAATAGTTAAGTTTGAACACATACATATGTACAACATTAATAACAAACAAATATTTTACATTTAACATAATTGATAACAGTGCAGAAAACACATTTTTTTTTCTTGTTTTCTTCAAATCAAAATTTTTTGAAAATTGACATTTTACAAATTTACAAATTAATCTTGATTAAAAATTGTATAAAAATTAATGCGCTAACATAACCTAAATTTAAATTTAATTATTTGGGACTCACAATTTTACATGGGTTGTTTGATGTTCCAAAAACAAACCTTGAAAATGCGAAAACTTGAAATGTTATGAATATTTTTTTTTTTTGGTTTTTATAACCTTTATTATTACAATTCATTCCGTTAAACTAATGGCTTTTATTAAGCGTTACAATTATTAAACACGGTATAAAATTTGGGAAAAAAAAGCCGTCCAATAAAAATGAAATGCAATTTTTTTTATGTGATGAATTTTCGTTTTTATTTTTGGCTTCTTTTATTTTTGATTAATTTTTATAATTGGATGATGAAATAACACACAATTAGTAATGAACAGTAGGACTTTATGTTGAAAAGTAAAAAAAAAAATGAATTGATGAGAAAAAATTGTTTAAAACTCTTCTGGAGATTCAAATCAATTTGATATGGTTTCCTATATGGTTAAAAACACCTAAGTTGAGTTATTGAATGCATAGCAAAGAAGAAAATAACATTTTCTTGAATGTCAAATTTAATATTTTTGGCAATGAAGTTGGTATTTTGAAATTGTGATATATGAGAAAAGGAAATACATATGTATGTATGTACTTATATTACAAAATTCAATATCAAATTTAAAATAATAAAATAGTGGAATAAAACATCAATATTAATTATACCAAATTTATAATAGGCTGTAAATTTATAATTTCGTTTATAATTATGCGAAATAACACTACCATGCCACTTAACCATACAGTTCTCACACAACTTTAGAAATGATTTAATCATGTGCCAGAAAAGTGGCTCAAATTATATTGTTCGTATTTGACAAAATCATTCGAAATTGAGTTTAAGCCACTGTAACTTCGAACCTATTGCACTGTGAACATCGTCTTCATATAAAAGTTTTGTCTACTCTTAAGGACCTTAATGTAGATATTTAGTAAATTATTTTTTAATGATTAATTATTAACGCCAAACATATACAGATAAAATATATAAAAGCATAATTTCATACAGCATTATGAACTACATTAACGCAGACTTATTTACATAACTCAATTCCAAAACATTCGTTCAAAGCATAAAATTTTTAAAATCAACTTTTTTAACAATTCTGAAGGCAATCAGAATAAATTCATATTCTAAAATTCTGATTAGCTATTTTTGATTTTTATATAGAAACGTGATGAAAATATTTATGTGTAATATTATTGATGCATGCTTTTAATAGATTTACACATTGTAATATCACACATAAATTTCATATATATATGTAAATACATATACGCAAATGTATTATATAAAATTTCAATTCACCTACAGTATAAAAAAGAAAAATTAAACTTCCTTTATATTAAAGGTGTACAAAATCACAATACACTTAATTTACAACGTTTATATAAAATGAATCTTAATTTAAATTTATACCAAAAAGGAAAAAAAAAGGTTCTCATATCCACAACGTTTACGTTTTCATATACATAAATATATGAAATTTAATTGTCAGCCTAAAGATATTTATTTACCTAAAAAATATATCAAAAAATCTGTCGAAATCATGTTTTGAATTTAAGTATGTAAAAAAAATAGTATATGTATGTATGTATATAAGTATAAGCAAAAAATATTAAAATGAGCAAAAATAAACGCTTTTTTTATACTTACATTTTACATATTGTTCGTCAAGGTTGCTATTTTATATTTTCTACATTTATGGATTATAAGTGTGCTGCTACATTTATAGCATACTAAAATTGCAGCATTAAAAGTAAAAAAAAGTAAAATTTGATATGCCTATAACATTAAGATATTTTTTGAAAAATTTAATAAAATGAAATGTTGACTGTTAAATTGGTGAAGACATTTAAATTGAATAACTCAAATTTAGTTTAAGGAAATAAAAGTGCTTTTATAGTTTAGAAGTAGTAGAACATTAGCAAAATGTTCGACAATAGAAATCAAAAACGATGGATATATGTCGGATTAAATTAAGCATTTCAGACTTTATCTTATGAAATACAATTGAATCGGTAAATTGTTGTTTCGAAGTTATAATTTTATGACGCACAAAATAATTTATAATAGTAAATTAAATTACATTCATACTTCTGTAGAACATAAACAGAAATATGATTGTTTGATGTCATTCCGTAAATATTCGAAACGTTAATCGAAATTCATTCTGCAATTTATAATTTATAAAAAATTGTATTTATGATTAGAAAATTTATTTAAAATTCAATTTATGTTTGAGATTTAGAATACCTATACACAATATGTGCAAGATGACAATAAAACCGAATCGAAACGTGAATATGTTTTTAAAATTTTTAATGGAAATTTTTTTTTTATAATACTGATATTGGGCATAAAGTCAGTGATTTTATTAGCAATTAAATGAAAAGAAAAATTAATAAAAAAAAAAAAATTATGAATAAGGGAGAAATCTTCATTATAAAATTTATCACATTTACGGAAATGTAAATTACAGGATTCATTTAGAATCAGTCGTATAAGTATTCCTTATATTGGTGGAAGTAATTTGTCAAAAGGAAAATACAAGAAATTTTAATGTGTTCAATTAAAATTTAAATTAATAGAAATGCAGACAGGTGTACGTACATTCCATCTTTATGTACTTTAAAATTGAAAATTATTTTGTATATACTTATGTATTTATGTACAAAGTAAAAATTATTAAAGACCTTAATCTTAAGCAAACTAAGTCCAAAATATAGCAAAAAAATTTTGTAAATTTATTGGAAATTATGAAATTATTGGCATAAAAAATTGTTTTTAATTTAAAATGCCTCTCATTTATAGTGTGCATAAGTTACAAAATAGCATCTGATACCTTAATTTAAGGTATTCCAATAATATATCCAATTTAAATAAATTATAAATTTTAGCAATGCAAGAACTTAATAAGTCCACATTTAATTATTGGGTAAATTTATAGACTTATTAAATTAATTATTTTAATTCGCATAGCCTATAAAATTTCAGGAAAGTCTGAACATTTTTATAATTTCAAAAGGTTACATTTAAACAGTTTCTTTTCTTTTTGTTGCATAAATTAACTTTTTAAAACAGATTTGAATGCATTTATATAACTTAATTTTTATAAGCTATAATGAGGATGTTTATTTATGAAGAAATATGTGGCACTCATTGATTTTATGCAGCATTATTGTATTTGATATTTAAACCAAAGCAATGAAAAAATATCTTATATCTGTTATATGTTGCATTTTGCATCATAAATAAATTAAATGCTTTATTCTCCTACCGTCTACAGTTACGATGCTCACCCACAAAGCGTTCGATTTTCTTTGATTATGAAGTATGTATGTACTCGTATGTACGTATGTACGTATGCACATGTTATCAAGCTGGAAAATATAATTTTTACTAAAAATATCATAAATTTTTTACATGATTATTTATTGATTAATTTATTCTTCTTCTTTTTTTTAGAGTTATATTTATAATGGATATTACCCCCCTTAGAGGAAAAAAAACGAGAATTTCCTTTGTATATTATAAAATAAAATTGCATTTTTATAGAGTTTTTAATTACAGCATCCGGTCATTTGTTTGCTCTATTGATCTACTCCAATGATTCCAAACAAGAAAGAAACTATTTTTTTTTTTTCTAAATTATTATTTTTGGAATATAAACATTAAATACATATATTTTGGCCCCATATAAATTATAGAATTATTTTATATCATAAATAATAATTAAAAATTAGTTAGGAAACATATTCAAAAAATTAATATGATCACATACGGTTAATTTAATTGTATACATTCATATGTATATGTATGTATATTTGCATATTGTTCAATTCTAATGATGAGATGCATAATATTGGAATAAATTCATAATATTTTTGACGGGAAATCACAAAAATGCCATAACTGAAATAAAAATTTATTCATATACATATGTATGTACATTTTTGATAATGATGTTGATAAGTAAGTAGCATTTTCAACACTATAATTTTTTATTTTTCAATCAGATTTAAAAATTATAATGGTAGTTATGAATCAGTCCCATTGCTTTTATACATATACATACATAACAGAAGATTAATATTTTCTTTATTTCAGTTAAATTATAAAATGTTAATAAAATGCTTAAAACAAAACATATTTCATTTGCATATTTTTCATTTACATAGACTCTTATTTTATTACGACAAAAAAAAAACAACGCTTTTTGTTCTCTCTGTTAAGAAAACCTGCTTTCACGGTCGAATTCAGAATAAAGATGATAATTTATACATATATGTACATATGTATGTATGCTTACTTTATGAGCAACTAATTATAATTTTTATACAAAACGTTGAT